AATTTATATTCCGGCTCGTTATCTTCACGTTCTCTTTCTTTTTTAGCACCCGGTGGTGGTTCATACATAAAATTTACGCTTAATTTATCCTTGCTTTCTTTTGACAACAATGCTCTGAAAAACATAAATATAATAAATAAATAAAACATATTATCAAACAAAGTATACATTTTTTTTTTGTAGTAAAGTATTTTACTTGTTGTTATAAAGATCTTGTTCTTTTTCATATTGTAGACGAAGTTCTTCTTGACGTTTTTTATCTTTAACTGATTTTTGTTCTGCCATCCATACCTGTAAATTATTTGCATAATTATAGATAAAAATTGTAACATTTAAGAGCATAGTGTAATATGTCACACCCTCATGTGTTGTTTCCATCTTAAAAACAGACAAAATATCAAATATTTAATATTAGAGAAAATTTATCTATTATCTGATCATCAAAAACATTATTCATGTATTCTTGTTATTTGTTGATGATATTAAATGCTTTTGTAAGTTTTGAACATTTTTAAATTTCAATATTTTACACAACTCTTTTTAAAATTGGATATTTTAGTTTTAATAAGTGTATAATTTAAAAAACAATCATTTAATACCTAGACATTTAAAGTATAATAATAACATAAAACTATTTCATTAAATTTGTGTATATGGTTATCAAATGAATTAGATTAGCAAATAATAAATCAGTGTGCATTTTTCATTTTTGTTAGGTACATAATATGTCGTTTACTGAAGCAATACTTACTCGTTTTAAATTATCTCTTGATGCCGGATGAAAGAACTTTTTACACATGTAATTATTGAAACCCTTACCCATCTTGTATTGAAAGTTACTGCGACTTAAGAGTATTTACTTTATTTAAATAAAATATGTATTGTGACGAGTATAGTAACAAGTATAGACCATAAGAGTATAAGACAATAATTGAAACACACAATTTTGTGATTGAATAAAATTACTCTTATTTGAATATGATTTTGATAATAATATTATTGTACATAATCTTGTGTTGATATATAGAACGGTGACATATCATCTAGATCCTCGTCCAACTAGATCCCCATAATAGTCAATTAGTTCCCTTGTTAACTACATCACCTTGAACCATCTCGTTCTACGAGCGGACTATATACGAATGTTCAAATAAATATTTCCCATTAATTACAAAATTTTACCCCAACGAAATATCTCTAATGGTAGATATCTTCATTCCGTTATTCCTGCGATTATTAAGTATTATCAATTAAGCTTATTGTTCATTATTGTAACAGATTGCTGAATAATGAATTATGCTGAAAAAAAATGTATTAAATTAGTCAATAATATTAGAAGCTTATTTAAATTAAATAATATTAATAATATTTGATTGCATTATTCTAAAGGCCAAGGACGTATTAAAAAAAAATTTCGGGGAGGGGGAAGTCCGAAATCTGTATAATGTATTTATTTTTACTTACCTCGTGTTCACCAATTTAGGGAACACTGAATTTCTTATCCGGATTATATTGGAATCAATCGAATTTTTTTTACTAGCTAGTGGTACAAGTATAAATAGTATTTATTAAATACACATTCACGGATATATTTCGAAATTTTTATTATTTCGGTTTGCGCATGCATAATAAAACATGTTTTTTTTTAAGCAGCAACACTTATTTTGAACGCTATATTCGGATACGCCTAATTTTTTAAGGTAATTTCGATGTCTTCAATTATGGTTCTAAATTAAAAATTGACTGAATAAAAGCTATTTCAATTTTAATAAATTATACATTTTTACAGTTTTCATTAAGGGGCATAAAACCATTAATAATTATTTATTGTTGGTAAGGTACGAAAGTTATAAGAATTAGGAGCTAAAAAGGCAAAGTATGCATATATCTAGGTACGTATAATTCTGTGGGTACGAACAACGGGTCGTGGGCGCCAACGTTTATTTTTCGTGCTCCCGACTTGCAGTATGAGGTTTGTTATATGTACTGAGTACTGACTATACTGACTACCTATACACAATTATATTATAAATATTTTAATTCTAAAATTAGATCTATACGTTATATAATATTTAGTTGTACACGCAATTGATTATTCATGTAATTTTACCATACTAAAACTATATTTATAAATTATTAATATTATTATCATATTGTTTTTATTTTTGTTTCAGATAAATATTTTTCAATTATTACAATTAATATATAATTACCTGGTCTTTAGTAAAAAAAATGAAACAACACATATTTATAAATTCAAGGTTAATAAAGGCTTTAATTTTATAATAATTATATCAATATATTGTTTTGCATATATCCGATAAGTATATTGGTCATTTAAAGTTAATTAATCTTTACCTTATAGTCCTATATTTTCCATTTTTTCATCTAATCAATAAATTAAAGCTACATTATCTTCTCGTATTGTATAGTCATTTAAATCAAAGTATAAATATTTACTCCTCTGCGTATTTTTCCTTTTATTAGCAAATATAGTGCTATTTCACTTTTAAAAATAGTATTTGAAAATTTTGAATGTAGGTACTGATTATATAGTAATAAATAATAATCAAGAAATTGTAATATTTTTACAATTGTTAATTTTCTGAGGTGTAAAAGTAGTAAAATATTCATTCGGAGGGTTTATCGCAACAATCAAAAGTGGTTTTACGTATCTACATAATTTTAATTTTAATTTAATTTAAAATTTTTGTTATTCATTTTTATTGGCATTAAAATATTATGATGAAAATTACAATTGTTTTAGTCTACTTATCGTATTTTAATATTAAACATAAGTAATTGATGGTGATACAAAACAATTTTACACATCTATTTTTTGTTTTATGAATTAATAATATCACTTTTAGGCGGATCAATACGTAATAAACATCTTTTTTTCAAATTTCATCAATAAAAATCCATATTCTGTCGATTAAATTTTATTGTATTAACATTTATTGGTATATGTCTATATATCTATTTATTACGTTATAATATTAAGTTACCTTATATAGTTGAATATTATTATTCAAAAGAAAGGCTCCAAAATTTCGTCTTCAGATTCTAAATCTTGTGGTAAGTTACCAAATTCAAGAATTTTGTACTTTTTTTTCTGTGACGCTGTAAAAGGATATTTCATATAATATTTTATTTTTAAGATCAGAGTAAACTATAATAACTTAAATTTTCAACTTAAGTATTTTGTTCATGTGTTTAATAAATAAAATTATACTTAACAGTTTACGAATTAATTAAAAATGGTTGATGATTATGACTGTATTATATAACATGATATTACTTTTTAATTTCTAAACATAGTATACTTGCTTAGAATGTTTTGACTTTCTTTCACAATTCGAACCAACAAAATCAGTGAATAGAATACAAATATTACGATGGTCATCAAAATTAAATACATGCAAAACGTATCAAATAATAGAAACAAAATATTTTTATCAAAAGGACACCTTTCAATTCTATTGAGTAAATACAAAATATTAAAAAAATTATTTTGTTCAATTGTTAATATATTGTATTTAACGTTTTTAACTGTCTTTACTGTAGAATTTTCTGTGGCCGAGATGAAACTGTAACTGTATTTCTTTGTGTTGTAGTGTTTTGAAGAAAACTATTATTTAATTCCATACTTAATTGGGTAAAAATTGTGTCAGATAACCATTCAGCTAATTGTTCATGATTTATTTTTCTTAAGCAATTAGCTATACTGAGAAAATTTTTTTCTTTTCCGGCAGTGTTATTCCATGTCATTAATAATGATAAACAAGTTTCATCTAAGGGCAAGTCTTGTTCTACGGATAAATAAATATATTATTTAAATTATTGAACTATATTGAAAAAATATTGTAAAAATTATAACTATAGAATACCATTATCTTTATTTTTCATCATAGTTATCAATATTTATTACCAATTATAGCAGACTAGCAGAATATATCAATATTTTAGTGTATTCTATAAACTGCTTATACTGTATGATTTAGTAGAAAATTTAAGTACCCTATATTTTTAAAATTCTAATGCTAAAAATCCTGAATTTATTTATAATATATTATAATATTAGTATTTTGCGTTAATTTTACCTTATATTTTTGGTTTAACTAATTAACTATTTTTAAATATAAAAAAATATTCACAATTAAAACAATATCTATACGGATAATTCATACAACGATCGCGTTATCCGCTATAATAATAAATTGTAATTACTGTGATTTATCAGCATTAATATCTGTATTTGTTCATTGAAATACATAATATATTTAATATGTATATATTTTTAATGGATTAATGAAATATGCATAACATTTTATTCAACTACAAAGCTATTACGTATTTTTCATTAAACTTGTATATATATTTTTTAATAACTACTTACTCAATAAAACATTTTATTATTTATATTAGTATTCAAAAAAACTACAAAATTATACATGAGCAACGACTTGAGGATTGTTTACCAAGTTCTTTGACTGCCGTTAGTTCAAGGCCTTCGGCATACAAATAAGCAGTGAGTTTTACACATTCTTGCGGAGTCAAATGGTTTACTAAATACATAAACATGGATAGATTGACGTCATGCGTGCAGACGATTTTCGACACGAACATGGTAATTAATACGAGGGTGATAAATTTTAATTTGTACATGAGCTTTAGTTTTCAAAATACTTAATCAACTATAAATAGTTTATGGTAATCGTATAAAATATAGTTTACTATGTAAAAATAAACGTATAAACTATATTATACGTTCTTAGCGATAATAAATCAAAATTGATATAGGTAGTATTGGTCCATAGAAACGGATACATTGTTCATACGATGCGGTCGTGTATACGATATACGAATATATTTTTTATACGAAATAGTGTGTTGGAAACATACTGATGTAGAAACAACGGGAACGCAGCTCGTTTTCAAAAAAACCGTTTAAAGTTTTAAATTACTATATACATAGGTATTGAATTATGCAGTGACAATTTAAACAAAAATGACATTTAAGATTTATTTTAACAAAAAAAAAATAAAATAAAATAAAAAATGTCTTAACAGAATGTATCTAATACAGACAATAGTCGGGTCAAGTGACCCGATGGCATACAAATTATAATAAAATATTTAATAATAATAACATAACAATAAACAAATTATGTACAGTCGTTTCTCGGGACCGACGTCCAAGGGAATGATTTCAAAGAAATCGTTTTCGATAAAAATTCGTGGGTTTCGAGTTGACTGCTGACACGCGGAACTGTTGCAGTCTTCTCGAACGTCACTCTTCGTAGTATACCGTGTTTCATTTCTTCTTGCCCGCGTAGTCGGTGCTCGGCACTCCCAGACTGGTATCGGCCGTCAACGGCGGGTAACCGCTGTCCTGGTCGATCACCCCGTGGTCGTGCAGGTGATGATGATGGGCGTCGTCGTCGTGGTGATGAACATCGGTGGCGCCCGCGTCCCGTTGTTCTTGTAGGAACGAATATTCGTCTTGGAGATTCTGCTGCTGTGCCGCCGCTTCGTTTACTTCGTAGTTGCTGCCGGCCGTCCTAAGAGCCGCCAGTTGCTGCAGATATGACGACGGTGCCTCTGCCGGGTAAGCCCCCTGGTACGACGACGGTCCCTGGTACAACGACGGTCCTTGGTAAGCAGTCGGTCCTTGGTACGACGAATGTCCCTGGTAAGCCACGGCCCCGCGAAAGTGTGGAGCGTAAGCGTGCGAGTGTTGCGCGTACGACGGTGCCGGATATCTGACGAGCGGTACGCGAACCGCCGGAAGTCTGGTGGCGTAATGTACGGCGGTGGCGGCCGGTCTGGCCACGGTTACCACCGGAGTCGGCCGGTACACGGGGACCGGGTACGGTTTGTACACCGTCACCGGGTACGGCTGGGCCACGGGCACGGCGACGGGTTTGATGACGGCCACCGGGTACGGTCGGTTGACGGGCACGGGGTACGGCCGAGGGACCTCGACGGGTACCGGACGGACGACGGGTACCGGGACGGGATGTGCGACTGGCACCGGTACGGGTTTATGCACGACCGCGGTGGCCGTGGGGTACGTGTGCACCACCGACTGGTAGACGACAGGCTGATGTTTGAATCCGTGAACGGTGGTCTCGTGATGGTTGTAGTAGTGACCGTGGTAGTGTGCTGGAGCGTATCCGTGGCCGTGGTAGTGTGCCGGGGCCGCGTATCCGTGGCCGTGGTAGTGCGCCGGGGCCGCGTATCCGTAAGCGCTGTAGTGGGTGGATGCGGGGGCGTAGTGGCCGTGGTAGCCGGCCGCGCCGTAGTGGGTGTGGTAAGCGGGCGCGTACAGTCCGTGGTACTCGCCGAAGCTCCTTCTGTCGGCCTGCGGTGCCTTGTCGGTCGGAGCGCCGTCTTCTGCCGGTTCGCACCTCGTCGAACCGATAACGGTCACCGCGCACACCGCGTAACACAACACCTGAAAGGACGATATCCGTTTTCAATACGTGCAGTACTTGCCAACAACCCGGGAATGTAATGACCGTGGACGGTTTTCCTGTGTCCCGCAGACAGCAAGAGGTGTTTAATTTTTTAAGTTATTATTTTCATGGCGAATTAAAAGAGGTTTTTGTTTTGTGATTTTTATTTGCCTTCGCTTTTATCCGTTTAAGTATACATTATTTTGAATGTTGACCTTTCCCTCCCCCCCTCCGAAATATTATTGATCATATGGTGTTCCCCTATAGTTTACCTGTTGTTACTTATGATATTATGTAAGATGAGCGTTGCCCGAGTGCGTTCCGTTATCTACATATTAGGTATATAATATCCCTAGTACATCCGTTATGTTGATAATATGTATACTATAATAGTACCTATAATATCACATGATGTTAGTTTTTATTTGCACTATAGCCCATATTCTATACGTAGGTATTTACTGTTTATAAATAACCTTCATTGTAATACCTTCTTGGAAATATTAAATGTTAAAATAGACGCAACAAATTTAAGTACAAACTTCTAATAATAAAAAATAATAAATAAATTATAAAATTACAAGATTAGATCAGGTAATGAAAAAAAAATTAAATTCATTGAGAATAACATAAAAAAGTATCAAACTGAACGAATCTCTAGATTTGGTTATGTGAAAATAATGGCATTAAAAAATCAACAAAAATTAAATAAATAATATAAATATATAAATATTAAATTATAAGCATTATAACATTTTAAAAATGGTTGTAAGCCAAAATAATTAAATAAATAATAATAATTAAATATTTTTTGAGGTATAAGCCAGTTCACCTCTTCACAGTGCACCTTGGTAACTCTAAAATCTAAATGAACTGGGACGCATTCAAATTACGTTTAAAATATGATCTTTTTTTTTTTTAGGGCTCACTCGTGTATACTTTATTTTAAACGCATTCAAAACATTAAAAAGAGTCGTTTCAGGACGTACTCGGGAAACTCTCCGTAAAACTGGTCGAAATGAATATAGTTTATTTGATTAGTTTGATTTTAAATTTTAAAGTAGAAAATTTGTATATATATATATATATATATATATATATAGTAAATTTACATAGCAAATCATAACAATTTCATATGCAATAAAATATAGTGCTTCAAAATGCTTGAAATTATAAATAATAATAATGCTATCATTTTAATTTAAAAAAATGAAATTTCAAACAAATTATTGTGGTAAGAAAGTAAAAAAAATAAAAATATAGCATTAAAATTATTTATAGAATGAACGCTAACTTGATAAATAAAACCCAAGTACCTCACACAAAAAGTTAAAAAAGTTAAGTATCTATCGAATAAATTGATATTTTAATAATATTATAAAAATGATAAGTAACGTGAAAATTAAAGGAACTACAAATAATAATAAAAAAACTATAAATTTGTGATTTAATTAAAATTTACAACGTACCTATATCTTAAAATAAAGCGTATATGAAAATATCATTAAGTTCAACAAACGGCTTCGAAAATGATTTTTTTTCGCGCAAATTATTAGTTACATGAACCGTTTTTCATACAAGCAATGTACAAGTCCGTTGTTTAGATGATAAGTATAATATTGTATTATGTCGAATACGCGATGCCGTGCCACACTTGGGTATATTTACTTCGAAAACAAGCTGTGTACCTATATAAATACAGGTACCTAATATTAAAGTACTTACTGAAAATGACTTCATAGCTTTGTCTTGTCTGAACCTTGATGCACTAGCTTGAAGATAGACGAATCGAATGAATGATAGGACATCCGTAGTTTCAGTTTTATACACTCGGGTTAGTACAATCGATTGGCTTTCACTGAATTAGATTTTTGGACTGGAAAGTTCGGTGGGTTCGAATACGGGTCGTGAATAGGAAATGAAGCTCTTTGCAGGAAGAAGAACGAAACGAATCGGAACAGAAATGCGTGTTATCGTTATGTCACGAGGTCGCGCCGCCATACGAATCGACAATATCGTAGCAAGAATCGGATATAAGATATTGTTATGACAATAATCTAATAATAATAAATAATGCATTGTAAGTGCCAAAATATGTGTTAACTTAACGACAAACGTATTTTATAGATAATTCACGTATAACCCGATCGAATTGCGTGAAAGTGAAAACGATACATGCCATATGCCTACTATATTGTTTTCGTAATATCGCATGCCACCTTAATGTACTTGTATAATATAGTATATGTGTATATAACGTATAAACACTAACTAGAGAAGTATTAAGGAAACTGAAAATCTTCTAGTATTAGTGTTGCATTTTGAAGGCGATATAAGCAATTTTTTTGCTATTTTTTTGATTTCTTAACTATTATTTCTAATTTATTTGTGAGTTGGGATGATAAAAAAGGATGGAGAATTATTTTATAGGTTTCCGAAAGCATCAAATTCGTAAAAATTCAACTACTTTAAATGTATTTACTCCTTACTAAAGGATCGATATTAGAACAAAATATTTAACTGAGTTATAAATCACGAGCGGCTACATTTGTCAAAAAAATATATCCAATAAAATCAAAGCATAAATGCATAACATAAATAATAGACTAAGTATAGTTAAATTATTTATAATTATTAGAGAAAAGAGACATAGGCTTAGATTCTGTTTAATAATAATTCTTATTATTTTTTTAGTTATATACTTATATATTATTATTGTTTGTATTAGTATAAATGAAAATCGATTTAAATAAATGTATTTAATATTTATTGTCAGATAGATAAAGTCTTTTGTTGAAATAACATTAATTAATTAATGTTTTTATTTTTAAAATTTATTCGTGTAAATAGTTTTAATTAAAAAATAAGCTATTAAAATGTTATAATATGTTTTTTGTGTAACAGATATTTATCATTTATATCACACAAAGTTATATTTATGTGAAAAATATAACTTTTAATTATACGAAATAATAATATCATACTAGGTATGTAGTTTTATTTACATAGATAGTATAAAATAATATTTAAAAACTAGATGTACGGTTGAAATTATATTCTAATTTGATACACACGAATTAGTGGGTAATTATATTAAAGTCATAAGTAAAATTCGTAAGTCTTTAGAAATTATTAGTTATTGAGATATTTTTCTGAAAGTGCAGATTGGTTTTAATAGTGACCAAAGAATGAGCATGATACAAACATTAATTATTGTGTAATAAATAAATAAAATCAAACAAAATAAATTCCGAATTAAAACATAAAATATTTGCACAGTTTTCCAAAAGTCCAAAAGTAATTACATTCTTTCCTATATGTTTTAAGTAGGTAATAGATACTACCGCAATATTATATCGTGACTATTCATTAAAAATACGTATAATAATTAATATTTAATGGATTAATTCAAAATAATGGCTATGCATGTAGTAGAAATTTCTCACTTGTTAATTGCATCTATAACTATTGAGTATAAATTACTCATAATGATATAGATATAGTTTATACACATCCAATTTAGAAAAGTAGCAGTATTTCGGCTACAAAGAAACATGGAATGAACAAGTTACACCTTTTTTATTTGGAATATATATTCAGAAATTTTGAATCATTTTTATTATTATCTTCTCCAGGTTTTCTAGTTCCATACTTTACAAACGTATGATGACTTTATCGATAAAAAAAAAAAAAAAAATGACTATAATCTATAACTCACGGATCCAATTATAGGATTATATATTTTTTAAATAAAACATACATTTATTATGAAATCGTTTAATATAGACTGTAATCGAACAAAAATATTCTCGTAATTTGAGGACATGGGAAAATATATAATGTATATCAATCATCAATCGAACGTCCGGCCCTGCTCCATTTTTCGATGCGTGCGGACTGCAGAGTGTCGTCGTTATTATGATTATTTTTTCATTATTATCATCATCGTTATTATTATTATTATCATTGATCATTGCGCTTTCCTGCATGTTTACTAAGACCAGTATATAGCCGCGTAGATAAGTACGTGTCTTTCGATAGATGCAAGGACGTCGATTATTCACATACACAATGCACAAACCTTTTGTTATTGTATAATAAATATACGAATGTATTGAGATACTTAATCCGAAATTATATCACTATAGGGAGTCACGTTTTTAATTCGTTGGTTAATTTTTTTATAAATTTTGGATTACAAATAGTTTTCTAATCATATGTATTTCAACCGATAATACAGCATATAGGAACATTAATAATTATAACAATAGTAATGACGACTTAGTGCGATGGCCGAGTCGTCAGTATTGTAACAATCTTCGTCGGCTGGGCCGTGACCGACTATTAAGACATAAATACCAGATCCTAGGGAACCAGTATTAACTACTGTACCTCAATTACCATGGGCAACTGCAGAAAAGTGCGAGAAGCGTATATGTGATGGTATTGTGTAACAATTTCATTGCCCTTGTGCAGTTTTGAAATAGTTTGCACGTAAATACACTAGATCTACACATAGATACCAAAACATAAGAATATTTAAATGCTATAAATGATACGCATGTATAAATGATCCACTAAGCATATGCAATTTCTAAATAGATATAACAATTAATTAGGTATGAATTTATGTTAATTCTGATATTGTATAATAGTTAATAAGTTCCTATATATAAAGATCATATTTTTAAACACTTATTATACCATCGGAAGAGAGTTCTATGATGGAGATACAAACTTATTTATTTCAGATGGGAATCACCCTTAAAATAAAAAAAAAATGTTTATAATATCGTTGTATTTTAAATGTTAATCGCGATTTAAACTAGTACCTATCTGAATTTTTCAGCATTTAATGCTAATAATGATTGGTTTAGAAGATATGGGGATTATGATAATTTGAAAATTTAAGTATACCAAAAACTCAAAAAAATTTTATTTGAAGACATGCATTAGACGTAATTGGAAAATCAAATGGAAGTGAAAAAATTGAGCAATGAAAATGGTTATAATAATCGGTGTTTGTCGTTTGCGCATCATTAGTACTTCAGGTAAGAAATTTGATTGGTCGTTTGCGCATCGCGAAAATTAAAAATAAAAAGGTATCTCTATCTACTATAATGACATGACATGACCGGATGATACACCGATAACATATAGGTTACGATAATATTAATAACTGATGACTTATGAGTTTAGGAACCACAGTTGTAGATTCAAGTGGAAACAAATATTAAAATTAATGAAGATTGAAGAGCCAGCTCGTTTAAGAAACAAAGAAATAAAAAATATACAATTCGTAAACGAACATTATTTTAAGTATACGAGTGGGAAAATAAATCGACAACAATTTTTAAGTATAATGGGACACGGGTTTAAACATATTTAGATTATAATTATGTTTTAATAATTTTGTATTTTTTTTATAAATGTAAATAATGAGTAATTTATTAGCAATTTATAACGAATCTAATCTCATAAGATGATTAAATAATATGGTAGTATACGTTCAAAAGTATTAATTTTTTTTTTGTTTTTGAATATTGACGATTATTTTTGTATACATTTACAGTTTTGTAATTATTGAAATCATAATTTACGTAATAATAATTAATAAAAATTGTTATGTTATATAGGAAAACAATCTAAGCCTTTTTTTAACAGTAGCGATGCGCAAACGTCCTACGCCCATAATAATATTCTTATTCTACAATTCTACATAATGCGTATGGTAATAAAATTCAATCGTATCATTTCTTTTTTTTTTAAACGATATTTTTGATAACGTATGACATATTAAATTATTTTATTATAATTATGGTATGAATTTATATGTTGTAAAAAACTATAAAATATACTGATATGCTCCAAAAATGTTAAAATATATCCTAAAAGTATTGTATATAAAAGCAATTTAAATATGCATTTATAAAAAAAAAATTGAGGATCTCAAACACATAAAATTAGATTACGACATTCGATGGTCAATGAACAAGAAGCATTAAATAAAATCAAACATTTTTATTAAAAAAATGAAATAATGAAAAAATATATATATTAAATAAATTGACATTTTAAAACAAAATCTTACTAATAAACTTAATAATATGATCCAAATAATTTTCAGAATATTAAAATATGCCATTATTTTTAACATCTCTAAAATATGCAAAATAAGTAAAATTAAGATAGAATATTTTTAATCTGCAATAAGTGTAATGGATTTATATTTCTCTAGAAAATATTTTAAATTTACCAAAGAAAAGAAATAAACAATGTGCTACAACATCATTTCTAATTATAATTTATAATAAATCGATCGTGTGCGATGCATACAATAATTGTTGTAGGTCGGCAGAGTATACATTGATTACAATAATTGCGCATGGGTAACGACAATATATTATAATATACTATACATGTAGCTTTGTTAGTGGCGTATTTATAACTACTGTTTACATTTATGATAGATAGACATGACGTGTGAGATTTACAGAAAAACCTAATCTAATAATTCATTCAAACGACGTACCTACTTATATTATTATTTATTAATTTAAGATCATCGAAAAAAAATTTATCCGAAGATTTTAGATAATAATAAGTATTTAAATAAACAGTATAAATGTATTGGTGGTGGTCAAATACTTTCGATTTATATAGTATACAGTGTAGGTATGTAATATAATATATTCTATAAATATTATATTACTCATTAGGAGTATCTATATGTTATTTCGTATGTGTACATCTAAATAAATCATATATAACTGTTTCATGAAATATCAGCTTTTTAAACATATAATTAGTAATTACACTAAACCTATCATTTTCGACATTTAATTATAAATATTATGATATGTACTTGCCTTGTATAAAAATAATTATTACGTGAAAAAAAAATGTAAATATATGTTAATAAGTATTGACGTGTATATTATAAGACATGTATAATTAAATAAAAAAATATCAACCGATAGATAATGAGAAGAATAACCATATTTTAAATTTTAATGATTGAACATATATTATGTGTATTTTATTATATTGTTAATGTATTATATTGGTACATATAACTGATATAAGTGTCTAATATTTCAAGATTTTTCTAAAAATAATATACCTAGTAATGCAAATATTTTGTAATCATTTTAATTTTGTTTCGTCACAGTTACATATAAAACTAAATATGTAACAGTACAGATAAATAGGCAAATTTACAAACTTTTTCTCAATATATTTGCATGTATAGATGAAAAAAAAAACAAATTAAATGAAAACGATCAAATAGGTAAGCGCTGTACTGTACAGAGTGTACAGTAATCTCGTTATTGAAAAGATCGCCGTAATGGATATTTTGACTTTATTTGAATAATTTTAAATAATTATCTATGAAAAATGATTTTATGAGTAGATGATCAATCAGCATAATATATTACTACATAGTATATTTTATAAAAGCAATTTATTTTACTATTAGTAATGTTATGGTAGGTTGAAACTTGAATTAATTGTTATCAAATATATAGTATTTATTATATTATTTATTATTAGCGGACTCTACCTCCTCTTCGCTTTGATAAACCTTCCTCTAAGGATCAATATTCATTGTCGACTAACATTGAGATCCCTGAAAGCTTTAATTCATTGAAATAGGTCGCCATCCATTTCATTTTGAAGTTTAGTGTCTGTTATTTAAAATATTTAAAAATATAATTGGTTAAATGTAAAAAATATGCAAAACTTTTTGTATTAGTAGAGTCAATAGAGAACTTTAAATAGTATATAAATTATAATATATAAATCATAAGTTATTGTTATTAACATTTTAAGTCAATATTGGTTTAATACAAAATTATGTGAATAGATTTGTAATAGGCAATAACTTAAATTTAATCTAAATATTTTGAAAATGCTATTTTTCATAATAAAATATAATAATTAATATGAAAAAGTTTCAAGTTTCATCAACAATATTTGCAATTTTAATTTTTTTTAAACTATTTAATTTTGTCAAAATTTGAACTTTATCATTTTTGTATATAAAATTTGATATTTATAGAAAACATATCTATAAATAGCTCAGAAGAGCAGAAGAGTTAAAATATATTAAAAGCTTTACAGTGTATAGATAATGTTGATATAAAATTTCGTGAGAATTTCAAGTATTTACGGCTATTTGTTTTTTAATTATAACAGAATAGTAAAAACGATTTTGTCGGAAACTGATTTTGCCTAAAAATTCACATTTCCCTAATTTTTTTTTTATTTTCCCAACTATTTGTAAGAGTGTTGTACATTTTTACTTTTAAATGCCCCAAAGTGCGAACTAGATCTACTCTACTACTATAAGTATACTAAAGTTGAAGATTTTCTCTGCACTTTTATTGTTTATTTTTCCAAAAGTTAAAGATAGACAGAAAAAATAGCACATATCATTGTCGATGTAATTTCAAATTGCAGTTATTTTACCAATTTATGCAAATTTATCGCAATTTATTTTCATATAAATTGTCCATCTCTATACTTATTACTTACTAGTCTCTATAATAATCGACCAATTGTAAATAATATGTAATTTTATTTATAATATTTTAAATTTGTTCTATTATTTTTATTATTCATTTATATATATAACTTGTCAACTATAATCTATACTATATACTAATATTATGTATTAATAACGTTGACTCGTGTAGCAGTAATTATCGATTGATCGACGCCACGTATATGGCGCCGTTAAAATTTTTATTTTTTTACATAGTGCCGCACCAGAAAATAATCTAAACTAACCTATATCGTACATAATATGTATACTATACTCGTATATCCCAAAGTGACAAAAATAATAATAATATCGATTTTATAGTAAATATCACAAAGTAAGTAATATTATTTTATAAAATACATAAGTAAGCCGTTCGTACCTAACCTAACCGTATATTATACGAATACAAATATAACATATATAAACATGTTGTTTAATAATAACAACAACTACTACTGATATTCTGAATAATTTGTTACAAATTTATTAAATTTGTACGCTGACCCTTTTTCATTAATAGATATTTTGTTCGCGCTCGCGATGTAAGCCGGCATATGGACATTCCACGTGAAGGCAAAATATGTAGGAGCGTAGTATCTATAATGTTTTTTTTTTTATTATTGTACATGGGAACAGAAATGGAATACATAAAATTATAAATCGAACCCATTGGTGGGAAATTATATTGTTAACGTAATACAGGTGCATACCGTATATTATGTGTATCGCTTCTGTATTTCTGCCAAGGTGCTATCGTTCTTTCACACGTAGTGGGGTCGTGGCTTCTATTTTCGCGTATAAATAAACCTCTTGAGCCGTCCGTCGGTTATATGCTGTTTACACTAAAGGGTTGTACACGTGTGTATTGTTTGTTTTTAAATCTCGTCAGTGTTTCTGTTCTAATTTCAAACGCGATGAACCACGCGGTAAGTGAACTTATTTGTTATAGTACAATATATTATACACGATATTATTGTTATTATTATTATTATTATTAATTATTATATTAACCTTCAGTAGGGTTGAAATGTACATTGGTAGATGAGCAAAACAATTAATTGACATTATTTTATTACATTTCGTTTATTAGCAGACAATAGTTATACTGATATCATAACAATCAATAATTGTGTATAAATAGCATGTATAGAATATACATGCTATGTAATATGTACTATTAATATGTAGATATTTCAAAGTTATATAATGACAAATAGATGCATTGTTGATTGTGATCAATTATTCAAAACATTTTACGTTGTAACAAAGTTTAAAAATTTCTTTCTACAAGAAGATAGGCACTATTTTAAGGTTTCAATAGTAACTGCATTTACGCCTGCATTTACCATAATAATATAAAATTCAATAAAAAAAGTATGAATAAATAACGTTCTTATATTATATAGTTAACTTGAATTATTATTATTTCGGTATTTAAATTAAAATTGGAAATGTTTACTTTAAAAAACTAATAAAATATTCTGCTGAATTCTATAAATAATAAAAAGTTTACACAATTGTTTTTTGAATACGAATGTAAGATATTAATAGCTAAAAATAGCAGCTATTGAAATATAAGATAAATTTAAAAAAATAGAATGTTATTTAAAGGGAAATAAAAATAAAATAAATTTAAATTCTTAAAATTAACAAAATTAGTTTTCAAGTATAAAAAAAAGGTTAAAAATTAAAAGATTTCCATACATCACTTTATGAGTCTATACATGCTTATTTATTACGTAACTAATTTTCATAATAAAAATGATTATTTAATATTAAATAATGATATTCAAGAAATCTAAGTATTAATATTTATTTATTTAATATTTCTTTATAAAAAATATTGAACCTTACTTAGAAAAACTCACATGGAGACTGAAGATAAAATAAATTATATAATATGTAATAAATACCTAACAAAAACAATAAAATAAAAATTATACATTTTAGTCAAATATTTATTTTATTTTTACGCTCCCATATTAGCACAATAATTGTTTTGTGGTACAATATAAACAATATTATCTATGAATCTTAAAGAAGAAAACCGGTTTCATTCCTATCAACAGTAGCTAGGTCGTTATTAATTTAAAGGTGTATTGTTATTGCTCTATTGTTAATTCAAAACACGCCTATAAAAAAAATTATTTTAATATTAGTTTTATGATTAATTAATTATACACGCGTAATGACCCACCATAATAACGTCATTTTATTATATATTATTTTGAATTCTTGCTCAATATTTTATTTACTGAGCTAATTTATACTGTGTTTGTTGATAAACCAAAAAACTGCCAATATTTTAAAAGATAAAAAGAAGTTTAATGAACACAACTACTCCTTAATATAAATATAATTAGGTATAAATGTTGACAGCTACTTGATTTAAACCACGAAGGAGGTGTATTGAAAACAATTTTTTTTCAATTTAAATTAGTATTTATAACAAAACATATAAATAATTAATAAAAAAACTATTTTTTTTTTTTTTTAATTTTTGGCTATCTATTATGTATATTATATTAGTTACAATACCTACTAAGTACAATTTGATATTATAAAATAATATATTAATTATAATAACTTTTTTCAAATTTTAGATCATTTTAAAATAAGTGATTTTTTATTTATAAATAAAAGTATTCACTGTTTGCTATGTTTGTTTTGAAAAATAATGTTATTTGCACTGATAATAATTAGGAAATATTAAGTATTTAAAATATGAAGTAAATACTTTTTTTTTTTTTTTTTTTTAAATTTAGATTTATGATCGTAAGAGGTGAAAAATATCTTTATTATTTTTTTTTTTTTGTTGATAGAAATTCATTAAATTAAATATGGAAATAAAAATTATATTTATATGCATATGCGTGTGTTACATATGTATATATAATATTCATTTATAGGTATATTAATTATAATAATTATGATCCGGTCTTTATAGTATAATTATTATAAATCTAATACGATAAGTAAATTTTTGAAAAAAAAATATCAGACTATTATTTTATGTTGTTATGTAAATGCATGATCATTTACTAAATATTAAATTATTGAAGCTAGAAATAAAAATAATTTCTACCGACTTTCTATTATGTATATTATTATATTGTTATATTGAACACATCGTATCATAAAAAAGTATCCAAAACACATGTATTATTTATTATATAAAGTATTGGAGTTTATTTATAGTATATATATGTTTTAAACTTTATGTTGAAGATATACATTTTTTCATTTTTTAATAAATATTCAAAATTCGTTTAATAATTTAATATGTATGTATTTCAAACATTATAATATGCATACAAATATTTTTCGCTAGTATTTTGCTCAGTGGGAACACGTTACACTGAATATTATCTCGTATTATTTTTATTAAGTACGTACGAATAAATGAGGAATCTGCTGCGTGCGCCTAAATCCAATGTCCGAACTACCTACTACGTGATACCATGTTGTAAATCGTAACTATACACTGTACATAATTCGGGTGTGAAACTTGGTCAATATCCAAGAAGCGTTCGGTCATCAGAAAATTGGTTACACAACGTCAATTTAGATTAGTATTCATCGCCGGAATCGCATACACTTTTACTATACGAAAATTTCAAACGGTTTCATTTCTCTAAATTATATTATAATAATATTGTATCAGTCTTGCATATAGACGTCGATTTTTTTTCCAAACACGATTGTATATAGAATTGTTCAATACATAATTTTATTATTATATTATCAGACTCTTGACCACATACGTATAAATATAATACGGCGTGACGGCGTGACGGTGTCTAATAGCATTTTGCATAAATAAATATTATATAACACGCTTTATGTCCATGAGGGAACTAGAATGTTTACGCGTAGGTCAATGCCATTTATTAAATAATATTGATTTTTGTACAAATACTAATAAAACAGTATTAATAGTTTAAATTTTAAAATAAAACATACGAAACATTAATTTATTATGTCATTAAATATCATATCATTATCTAAATCTTATTAAAATAATGATATGTTAGCCGGTTTTCGGAGACATTTTAAAGTCCTTACTTATACAAAATATTACAATATATAATAAAAAATTACAATGTTTATATTATTATGTATCTAACCAATTGAATTCTTACACATTATGACAGGTAGGGAAAATATGTTAAAATAACTGTACTATTATTTTGATCAAAAATTATTTCTTTTAATAAAAGTCTTTATATTTTTGCTATATATTTTATAGTAAGTGTGTATACAATGTCTATACAAAGAAGTTTACATAATGTTTAAAATATTACAAAACTAAAAAATGTAGAAATACTTTATTATATAAATTTAAATTGAAGACAATCGATTAAAGGTTGCCGGAAAAGTCACCTTTTATTTGCTAACTAATAAAGGTGGTAAAAAACAAAAAACTAACTCTATTTTTTTAAAATTTTTCTTTTTCAAATTTCAAAAAACCAGAGAAGTCACTTTATTGTAAAATAGGTTTCGAAGGTATATCTTTATTGAGTAGGTCACTATAACAGTTGTTTTAAATTTAAATTCAATGAAAATCATTACATAGTTACAAAAAATGATTCTAAATGAGACAATTTATCAGAATTTATTTGTAGAATATTTTATTATTTATTTATTTTATATGGGTAATTAATTTTTCTGTAAGCAATAATAATAATAATAAAACTATGATAGACCGAACTAGTTTTTACTTAAATAAATTATTTATTTATAATAAATTATTATTAACTACTATTAATTTGTTTGAGACAATGCCGTATAAAAATTTTCTTGATACATTTAAAATTAATCTAAACTAATTGAAAATGCCATTGTATATAATAATATATGTAACTGTGAAACGTTTTAAATTTATACAATTATTATATTTTAAATTAAGTATAAAATTTAATAATTAAAACCGTTGTTTAGTTTTGTTTAAGTATCAAATTTCAGATGTCTACAATAAAATTTGTACATTTTCAATATTTTTAAATTTCTTGAATAGTAATTTATCAGGAACCTTATATATAAGTTTTTAATCATTATTTATTAAAATTATGAACTACAATATATATGACGTGTCAAGCTTTATTAAAAGATTTAAATATTAAATATAAAAGTAAATACTAATTTTTTCTTTCATATCTGTAAGACTTTATATTAATTTAATTTTTACTTTCGTATAATTATTATCTATTTAAAGAATTCTATTGAAGGCGTATCGTATAGGCAATTCAAGTACAGTTTCGTTGCACACGTTTAATACAAGGATTTAACTTGTATTCGCCTATTGTATCGTGCTCTGCAATATCAACGATTACATGCCGATTTATTATTTTTTACGTATCATACATTTGTACACAAATCCTTCTGAAAAAAAAAAAAAACGAAAAAACGTTTAATTCAACACAAATGGTTGTTTTTATCTCGCCGTGTCCTGCATTTTCACCACTTTACAATATTTTCCATCACGCCTGCAAACCTAACGAGTTTACAAATTATACCGATGAATGCATACACGTTTAGCGATAAAAATCAGCCAAGTTTGGTTTACGGTTCCGGGTACTTCAACACGCGGTCCTTTTTCTTGAGTAGAGATTTGTAATCGATTTTATAGCTGTCGAAGAGTCCGCCATAATATTTATGCAGAAGTCCGAATCCTCAAAAATGAGCCGATTCTTAGAGCTTCTTTAATACTTAATTTTTATTACTAACACTGATTGTCGGAACATTTCAGATTGCCGTGCTGTTGGCCGTCTCGGTGGCGTTGGCCACGTGCACCGCCGCCGACTCATCGACCGACAAGCCGCGGGCCGACGGCGACGATCACAAGGCGGACCGGAAGCAGAAACGCGGCGTGTGGGGTCTGGGATACGGCGGCGGATTCTACGACGAGGGCCCGAGCTACGGCACGCTGGGCGGCTACGGTCTGGGCAGTTCCATTGGTTCCGGTTTCGGAGGATACGGTTACGCGCCGCGCCACTTCCCCACGCACGTGCACACGGCCACGACGATTACCAAGAGCGTGCCAGTGCCGCAACCGTACCCGGTGACCGTCGAGAAGCACGTCCCGTACCCGGTGGCCGCCCCGTACCCGGTCGAGGTGCCGAAACCGTACCCGGTGGCCGTTCCCAAGCCGTATCCAGTGGCCGTCGAAAAGCCGTATCCCGTGCACGTGGACAGGCCGTACCCGGTGCCCGTGCCTCATCCGTACGCCGTACCCGTGGTCAAGCACGTCGGCGTACCGGTGCCGCACCCGTACCCGGTCGAGGTCAACCGGCCGTATCCCGCGCTGCCGCTGCCCTACCACAGGCCGCTGTACTCCGACCACGACCTGTGGTAAACCGCGGGTAACCGCCCAGCGACTTGCGCACACTTGTCCGCTGTACATAATATGTGAGTACCTACATCATAGACCAGAGGTCGGCAATTAAATTCTACGGAGGTCCAGAAAATCAAAAAAAAAAAAATTTCGAGGGCCAGTAAAAACTAAAAACTCAGATATTATAGTTAATAATTGTTGTGTTATCGCAACTATTGTTGTAAATAGCAATAAACGATAGACACCATCGTAATCTCTTAGAAAACATCATAAAATAGATAAAATATATATTATGTGTGGAAAACCAGCATTATTAAAAAATATATTTTTTTGTAGTCCAATTATTTTTCCTTTGCGGGCCGCCTATTGTCGACCACTGTCGTAGACCCACACTCGGGAGACGGATCCCGGAGACGTAGGAGGACGGGCTGTCCCGGTTGAGTTCACGCCACGCGCGTAGACGATGTCCCGCGTCAATTTGAATTTAAATGTATTTAAATCTTCCGATTACTTAACTATACCATTAAAGGTAACTATACCATAATCGAACGAATTTAAAATTTCAACCCCAGTAAGTTGCGGATTCGTCACCGCCTAACCACGTACCTACACGTCGTTTTCACGCAAAGCCCGTTGCGATCGTTGCATTTTATGAATTTCTCGCGGGGTCCAGTTCATCTGGGTACTCGACAAACCGTTAAGATATTGCAAAAACTATGTTGTACTTAAAAAATAAATAAATATAACTCATTTTCCGCTTAAGTCCGTGACATTTTTTTCTCAGCATAATACATTTTTCGGACTACCGTTTAACCGTGACGGCCGCGTCGAATGTCAAGATGAACCGGACGGGTTTGGCCCTAACCCACGTCTTGTGTAACGTGACCTGACCTCTAATACCACGAAAAGTCGCAGGGCGATATCGATTATCATAATGATATCATGTTGCGTACAGAGACCATTCATTCGAAGCGAGTCGAATCGGCCGCCGATTTAAATGCGAAACGTTTTCCGGGTGTTTTGAAAATCGAATTGACCGGTCGCGCGATACTGATGAGTTGATATCGTACGTTTTCGTAATACTGTAGTGATTGCTGTTGAAAACGATGGACTGTGTTGAGAAACATAGGAACGCGGTCGACCACGGTACCTGTTATGCGTTATAACCTATACGTTACGGGCAAGCGAACGAGCCACGACTTTGCACCAAGTACTATTACACAGGATCTACGTTTTATGTGTTTTATTTTTAAGCCGTGTACACTGCTAATGCCCTGCAGATAATAAAGTGCAACGATGATAATAATAATATACGTAAAAAATGGACTTGGTTTTATGTATTTCGGGAAAAAACGGCACGTTTATATTATTATGGTTTCGTGCAAGTTAATTTACGTGCTGAGTAATTTTAACTACAATAATATTATGATATTACGACTCTGCCGATTTGCATGCTACACAAACCGACATATTTTTGTACCCATAAACTAGATGATCTATGTACAGCGATACACTCATTATTATTAAGAGCTATATGAGTATTAACTTTTTTGAAACTATTATTTTTCTTGCGCGATTTTTAAAACGTTAAAAAAACATTTTTCTAAACAAATATATTTATTTATAATTATTTATAATTATTTTATTATTCTTATTTTTTTTAATTAATGATGATGTACATTTTTGATTTATCTCAAAGCAGAATATTTTGTAAATTATTAAATTATATTTTATATGGCTTTTAAAAATAGTAAAAAATTTAATTTTTCCTGAAACTTTTCTGTTGTAACGACTTAAAACTACGTAAAAAAATATTTACAAAATCCTTAGTATCTTCTAAACTAATGATTGTCTTACGTCAAATGTATCACCCCGTTAAAGGTACACACGAATTTGTGATATAAAAACAATCGAAAAAATTTCGCCAGTGTAATTTGAATCTACGACAAGTCTAACGATATTTCCGTCGCGAATTCCGATATAATATTATTCCAGACACATTGGTGTGTTCGAGTCCTGATTAATATAATCCTGTACGTATTTATTATTATATAGTGGTGGATCAATCATAAACGCCGTGTTTGTTTTTGTATTACTATTTATTATTACGTCCTCTCCCCATCACACCGCATAGTGATGATGTAAATATTATTATGTTTCGTCGTCCGCTGTCGTAAATTTAACATTACCAGACCTTTTTTTTAATATTCTCCATATAGTACGTCACGTCGAGCTGCTGTAGTAGGTACATTACGAAAATGTAAATGTGTGTAGCTAATGTACTCGTATGTAAATTGAAATTTCCCAAAAAGTGTTTATATAACTTTGCCTCTATGAGTTGGACTGAATATAATTAATATTAAATATAAATAAAACGTGTGCAGTCTTCATCATTTTTTTTTTTTTAAACAAGAGCTGCCAGCCAGTACCCTAAACATACGCAGTAAATACTGAATAATACCACAATATGACACGCTATTAATATGCGCGTGTCGACCAACTCGTCTATAAAATTATCGGTTCCATTACTGTATACACAGTCCCTTAGAAAATATAAACCAGATGCCCTGCAATTGTATAACAATATAATATTATGTTCTGTTTATCGTGTATACGATAATTTATATTTTATTTGCTGCGATATTTATATTATATATTTTTTGTACTACTGTTAAATATACGTTTCAGATACCCGTCTACACACGTCATCTACGGAATTGGCGTCTTTGCCATACATAATGCCATTGGACTTAAATACATGTAATGGATTCATATAATTAACCATGAACAACTATACTACTCAAACATATACGTAAACATCATGTAAACTTTTTTCACGCTGACCACCTACGGACCACTACCATAATGTATCAAATGTCAACGACCCTTCTGATGCTTCCACATATTTTCTTTCCCGGTTTCCGCATTGTTTTGTTTTTTTTTTTTTGTTTTATGTCCATAGATTTATGTCTACAAGTAAACGTTGTGTATATATTATAATGTAAAAATATTGTTTTATTAATAAAATTTTTGTGTACTGTAATTTATACGAATCTATAATAATGTTATTGTAGTATGTAAAACATAGTACGTAAATGAAAACTTAAATCATATTTGTGACGAGCGTTATTTCAAAATGTAAAATTATATACCGATTATTATAATATAATTATCGTATTTTATCATATATATATAATACATTATATTATTGTTACTGCAGGATTTTTCACATCTGTAATAAAATGTTTTTATTTGTTAAATTAATTTATTATTTTCGTGAAATGCGTATATATTGTATTTAAATAAAATACACGTCCACAATACTAGTTAATATTTCATTGAATTATTACTTGTTTCTCAGACTCACAGCCTGTTTAAAACATTTATACATTCCTTTATGAACTATCCAAAGCAAAAATAACTCGTTTATGCTTCTAAATAAACATTTTTACTATAAAGTACTGTTTATTAAGGCTTACATAATTTCATTGCAGGTTACAATTCACTATACATATTACACAACTATATTTTTCTATGAATATTCTATCAATGCATAGCAATGAAAATATAATACATGATCACTGATTAGTTATTATTTATTGTTTTTCCTGAAACAAGTAAAATACTCATAAGATATCAATTATAATATTTTGAAGGACAAATGTATGTTTAAAAGACGTCAAATTCACAAAAAATATCACTTATGAGTTATGAGTTTTATTTGTTATATAGTTATTAGGTACTTATTAGTAACAGCATTTGACTCATTTGAGTAAAACACTGTAAAATAATAACCCAAACCAAAACGTTTAGGATAGAATTTATTGAATATTTAATTAAAAAATATTTTAAATATAAACGTGAAAAGGTCTGATAAAAATGCACAAATATTAAACACTAAAATAAAATATGTTTAAATTTAGTCTATATTTTTAAAGTAAATTGACTTCAACATGATAATGGGATATATTATTGATAATTGATATACGTTTATACATTATACATGGTATATATTTTATATACGTTGTTACTTTATTTCTTCAGTTGTACCGTACTACCATAATTAAATTCAAACATAGTTTTCTATTACCAACTTATCTTGTTATTTTAATAAAACCTTAAAGTTATTTACAATATAAAATAACAGATTCTAAGAAACGAACATTTCAAATACTTATGCATACTACATAGACATAATATTGTACACTCATGGCATATTAATGTTCCTAATTGAATCTACCTACTTAAAACAGTCGTCATCGATAACGACCATGCAAACATTCGAATCTGGATAGCTCAAAATGAGGCTGGTAAATATATACTTACATTACGGAAACATTTCGTCATCGGTTTTAAACAACTATGTATAGTAAGTGTACATAATATAATATACAGAGTGATTCAGCAAATACATCAGGTATAATATCAGATCAGATCTAGTATTTAATAAACTGAATTTTTAAAAATTATTAATGTTTTAATTATTAAAATTTTCATTCATATAAATCTTATAGCATACGAAGTTAAACAACTTAGAAACAACTACTTTGAATTTTGAGTTTCATGTGTCTAAACTTTGAGAATAATTATCAATTAAATAATTCACTATAGAAAAGGAAGACTTTCACTTGAAAAATAGAATTCAACGTCTACATGATACTAATTAAGTAATACAAACAATTTCAAGAATTTGAAAATATGATCTTTAAAAACACTTGATAATTCTAAAAATCAGATTTTAAAGAACTTTAAATTGAAAATAAATGAGATGATAAGCGTACGGTTTTTGTAAATCACTCCGTATATAAAACGTATTGTAAAATATTTAAATGTCTACTATAATTTTTCTGTAATACCTTATAAATTATAATATTAATAATTTAAAAACGTTATTTTTACAATTTTTTCATAGTTATTGTACAGTGAGCTTTGCAAACCAATAACTAGTACTAGAATTTTTAATGAAGTTATTTATCTATTGACTAGTTCAAAAGCTTAATTTATATAGTTTTTATTAACATTTAAATCAATTATAAATTGTTATATGAATTTATATAGTAAATTGTACTACGATCATTCATAAAGTACTTAAAATAAATACTTGAACAACGAATATTTAGAAAAAAAGTATTCAAGTACAAACACAGATACTTAAAAAAAAGTATTAATAAATACTTTTTAAATAATGTGTAAACGATTTCTTAAAAATTTATTTATTTAACGATCTTAAACAATGACTGTTAATCTGACTATTAACTATGGAAACATTTTTTTTTTTTAGATTAGCCTCATTAATGTAGGTATACGATAATAATAAATGTATGTTACTATTATGATTTTGCGAAGAGAAAATCGTGATTAAACTGGTCAACTGAAGAAATTTTAACTTCTAAAGGTTAAGTTAGGTTAGTTGAGGTTATGTTATCATGAGACACATTTACTAATAATAAGCTGTTACTAATATTTTGAATTTTCACATTAGCCATTTTTAAATCATTCTATTAATAATTCTACAATACGTATTATTATTATTATTATATTTATGTCGTGCTAGAACTCCGTAAGTAAAAGTAAACTATAGTAAAATCATGGCTGGTAATCTACAACGAAAATAAATAAATAATAATAGTTTTCTACATGAAAAAATTAATGAGAGACTTAGTCATAAAGCAGTTTTATGTATAAACAATAATAAATACATCATTATGCAATATTAGAACGAATAGTTTGACGCAATACAAAATCAATGCGCTGTGTGTGTATTAATAAAAATAATAATAGTAAAACGAGTTGATATACGTCTTCAAAATACATGACACTGCATAAGGGCAAGGCCAATTTAAAAAGGCAAATAAATATAGATAGCATGTTAAATGATAATATTGATCATTAATTAATTTTATTGCAGTACAACTAAACAACCAATATCACTACAAAATTAATAACGATATATATATCTTTGTGTGATATTTTGTTTATCTATCATTATGTAATATTTTTGTCTATAACCACTTAATAATAGCTATAGAGCTGGTTACTGGTACATCTATCTAACGTATAAATATTGCACGATAATAAGTGCTTTTCCTACTGTTATTAACCTGCGGTAAATCATATTTAAATTTAAAAAAAACCTACTTTATTTATAGGGTGATTCTTTTATTAATTAATTTTATTGAATCAAAAGGTATTAATGTTTTTGAACAATTTTATTTTTACATAATTTGAAGTTATTAAAAAACATTGAACCTATTTTAAAGAAAAAAAAAATATGTATTTTTACAAACATTTTTTACATTTTATTTGTTTTTTTTTTTTTTTAAACATTTTTGAGTGAGGCAAATTAACAGATTATTTTATTTAAAATTTAAAAATGGAACGAGAAGTAAATTGATTGTATGATCATTCAATTTTTTTGCCATTTATGACGAGTTCGTCAGGCATATAATCAAACCTGTAAAACAGGTTAGATGTGAATTCCTTGATTTTGAATAACACCAGCATTTTTTTTTCATTGATAATAGGTATGAAAATTAATTGTGTACAAAAATAAATCATTATATACGTATTTTATCAAGACGCATTGATTATTATTAAACTATAGATATATTCATTATTGGGATAAGGATAATAATATATACATTATGTGAATGTAAATAATATCATTTTCATTTTTTCATAATAAAAATTAACGTATATATGTAAATTATCTATATTATTTCATAATATTGCTATTCAATTTGTTATAAACTTTTATATCTAAATCATTTTTTAAAAAATGTATGATTTGTATTTTACTAATTTAAAATATTGTGTTATTTATTTGGGGTTTTTAATTTCTTAAGTTGACTCTTCAACTCTTACAAGACTTATTAATTATTACTGTACTTACATTTTTAAAAGAGACGACAAAACAATTATTTGTTTTAAAAATGTTCAGTTTTATCTTATTAAGCTTATTTTAAATCAATAAAAACCTATACTGTCAATACTTTTTAAATTATTACAAATAAATCTATTAAATTTTCCAATATATT